ATAAACTACTGCAAGACCGTTTCAGGCTGGACATAAGGAAGAATTTCTTTACTGTCCAAGCCCCCAAGGTCTGGAACAGCCTGCCATCGGAGGAGGTTCAAGCACCTACATTGAACACCTTCAAGAGCAAATTGGATGCTTATCTTGCTGGGATCCTATGACCCCAGCTGACTTCCTGCCCTTCGGGTGGGGGGCTGGACTCGATGATCTTCCAGGTCCCTTCCAGCCCGAATGTCTATGAAATCTATGAAATAATGAAAGTCCCTGGCCCAAAGAACCTGCAACCTAGACAGACAGATGAACAGGCCGGTGGACAGAGGAAGGGGTGTGCTGGGGCGGCATTTTCATAGTTTCACAGTGCCATAGTTTTTTAGGGGCTGGAAGGGACCCTCATCAGGTCCAGCCCTGCTTCCCACAGGGCTTAAAGTCAGGGGAAATGTAAGCAGTCAGAGAGGAACAGCCTTCTGCCTGGGATAGAAGTTGGGTGGGACGGACTGCGCCCCTCCCATCTTTAAGTCAAATATTCCTTCAGCTGGGAGCCGAGCTGCACAGATACAGCGGGAGCATTGAAGCAAAAGCACAAGCAGGGCACCGGTGGCTCAGAGGTGGCGGTAGCAGCTTGAGGTGAAGAAAGTGGGGTTTCCTGTGCAACCTGGGGCTGCATTTCAGGCAGGCCTGAGTGCTGCCAGATTCCTTGCAGATACCTGTCCTATGCGCTCTACATTCTCCCTCCTCCACGGCCATCTCCAGACCCTCAGGGATCAGCTGTATCCCAAGGCAGAGCCTGGAGGAAGTGTCAGCCCGGTGGCAAAGACATCTTTGTCCCCCAGAGAGAGAGAGGCACCTCTGGTGTCAGCTCCCACGGATGGGGGTAGCAAGTTACAGCCCTTTGCAGGCAGCCACCTACTCCCCTGCATCCTGCTTAGCCCCCTGGGCACCAGGGCTCAGACCACCCTGCCTCATATTGCTCATGACCAGCCAGTCACTCCCAGGAAGCATATCATGCACACCCCAGAGAGCTTGGGACCAACCTATGTGACCCTGATGCAGGCCAGGTAAGGAGAACCCCGTGCAGCTGCACATAACCCAGGAGTGATCTGACTGGTGCTGGGTAACCTTCCTGGTCACCGTGGGGCTGCCCATGTGCTTGTAATTGCCTGTTCAGCCCTCGATGCAAATGCACGGAGTCTCATGGTGGGGAAGACATTCACCGAGTAATTTCCCCCACCCGCCCTGGTTTGCTGCAATGACTTTCAGCAGGGCAACCCTATCACAAAGCAGAAGCCTCCTTTCACTTTAGGGCCCACTTGTTGCTCCAAGCAATCAAGAGCTACTGTAGGTGACAAATACAATGGTAGATGATTAGGATGGTAACCGAAGTCTCTAGGCATTTCCACCCCACGTCTCAGCAATCAGTGCCCACATGGAGCACTGAGGGCTCCCTAGCATTAACACCAGGCAGAGCCTTATTTGTTCCCATTTAACTCACTGGGAGAAGAAAAACTGCGTATTGACAAAAGCCCTGTGGATAAATCCCAAACTGCCACTGCCAAAAAGCCCTTCAGAGCCCCATCTCTCTCTGCAAGCATGCAGTCACCTCCTTTTAGATGCTTACCACTTTTAAAGGCTGAAGCTCAACTCGTGCATCACCTGTTTGCACGGATGCCTGAATTGCAGGCACAGGCTGAAACGCACAGAGGCTCGCGGGTAACCATTTGCTGCGCTGAGCGTACGTGGAGGGAGTGGAAGTCCAGCGCTCTCAAAGTTCCCGGCATCGGCTGAGATGTACGTTTTCCTGAATCTGCTGCTTCAGGTATTCAGCAACTTCCTTGTGCAAATCCTCCCCTGGACTCCCTCCCTCTCCCTGCTGTTTTTCAGCAATCAGTGAACGGCCACTCAATGGGAAACACAAAACGCAAGCGATATCTACTTCTTAGCATTCCTGCCTTGGGAGGATCACAATGAAGTATTTGGTGTCCATCGGCTACCACAAGAAGACCTCCAGAGCCTCCGAGCGGGAAGCAGAATATGGGGGATGATTTATGCTCTTACCTGTGTCCTTTCACAGTTGGAGAACTCCTCCTTGCTGACAGGCTGAAGAAGCTGTCAACTCCCATGCACTACCTCCTGTTTCCAGCGTAAGGACAATGGCCAGGGTGAGGAAAAAAAAGGGGGGTGGGGTGAAAGCAGGGACACAAGAGGGGGTAAACTGTGAGCGCGTTCAGCATTGATAGGCTCATCAGCCTGAGCCGAGACTGAATGCAGACTCTTAAAGTCCCCTGTTTTATAAAGGAAGGAACAGTGATGTCACTGGCAGGGCTTCACAATGCAAAGGCCCTTTCAGTGTGCGAGTCTCTCTGTCACTCAGGCTCTTCTCCCTCCTCCGCTTTAAAGCCCCCTTTAGGTGTCACACGACCGTGGTGCGGATTCTTTGGCCCAACAACCACAGCATTTTTCTAAGCACCCCTCCCTTAAAGAGGCAAGGTTGTTTGAACAGAAGCTGCTCATCAAATGGCAGCAGGTGAAAAAGCTCCATTCCTGGCTCCGGCATTGCGATACTTTCTATTGTGCATGGATGCAAAGTGTTGGGCGATGACAGGTCTTTTTGAATGCTAATACCTTGCTTGGCTCCTCATCCCAGGCTCCCTGGGCAGACTGCAGCTACTCGCAAAGCTCCACTGCCCTCCCGGGTGGTAAAGATCTGACTTGCCACTCAAACTCAGAACTTGCGTCTCTCAGGCCTGCACTGCAGGGGACAGGAGCAAAGGGCAGATGGGAAGCTGGGTTGCGTGTGATAGCTGCCAAGGAGCTCCGTGCAACTTGGGCAAAGTGCACACCCAGCATTTCCACCCCTGCAAAATGCAAGGGAGCCTGAGCTCTCCCCCCGACCTGCTCCCAGGTGGATCCTGGCCACGGGAGAATCTGGCTGGAATCAAGCATGTGTCGAACAATCAAGCACTGCTTGGACTTGGCTGTGCCTGGACTGTGGGTGCTTAACTTTGAAGCAAGCCATACTCCCATGCAGAAACGCACGGCCTTGTCCCAAGGTAAAAATAAAAGGTTGGATTTGCAGCACCTGCTGCCCTTCCCCAGAAGGGCAGATAAGCCCTCCTCACAGGTAATCAGGGGAGTTGGCAGGTGCTGAGCACTTTTGGAAAACCCAGCTCTACATAGACATGCGTACACCTCGCTGGAAAAGCAACACTTGGCACAGGCTGTTCGAAGATCCCCCGGGAGGGGAAGTGGACAGGGAAAAGGGAGAGGACAACGATGCAACTGGACCCAAAGACAGCGAGGAAGACAGCAACAGGATCAGCAGCAGTGGAAGTGACAGCGACAGCGACAGACACGGAGAATGAACCGAGAATGTAAACCCCAAATCGGGGCTTGAATTAGGGAACTGCAGCTGGGTTAGGGAAGGGCAGCGGGTGGGTGCTTTGGGGCATTTATTGTAATGGCAGCATGGGTTTTATTTATTTTATCCCATTTATTGTAATGGGAGCGTGGGTTTCTTTATGCGGCTTAAGGGTGCAATGGAAAGTTTATGATACAGTATGTGTGTGTGTGTATATATAACTATCTAATATTTTTTCCCCAAAAAAATGAGTACACCTCGCCATTGGGATACCGCAAGACATAGACACAGCCTGGCAATTGCTACACATCTCTGTCAATCGGGTACTTCGCAGCTGGGGAAACTGAGGCAGGCAAACGCTAAGTGGTGTGGGTTATTCAGAGTCAGGGTCAGGTGCTCCTACACCTTAGTGCCTTTGACTGGCCCCTTGGGGAGCCCTCAGACACAGATATTCCTACAGGCTGGATTCTTTGGTTAGGCATCCCTACTCCTTATGAATACTATGAAGCCCTTCTCCACGGCAGTCCTAACCTGCCATGGGTAGGCAGCAGCCGATGCTTTCATGAAGCAAATGCATTTTTCCCTGCCCTGAAAGGACGGGCAGATTATGCTAGCAGATTCAGCAGCCAAAGCAAGCCCTAAGTTATGAAAGAGCTCCTCAGTCCCGCACCACAGGCAGGGCCACGCCAGCCTCCCCTGGACTCCATGGATCCATCATTCACAGTCAACCAGTTTGGTTCATTATGAAAACCCAGCTCAGGTTTCACCAGCTTGCCAAGCCAGATAGAAAATCAATACAGCCATCAGTTGGGCTGGGACCAGGCCAGCCAGCTACTCACAAACAGACAGCTCGCTTTCAGCTATACCCATGGATTGCTAGGATCACCTGCTCTGCCTCCTCTTCTTGCAGGGGGAATATAGGAGCCTCCAACACCTTCCCTAGACCTTGCCTGTGTCACATCTCCCATTCCCTGGTCTTTCCCTAGATTCTGTGCTGCGATCTGTACTCGTGAGCACTTGTGGCTCGCGGGCTCACCAGACGAGACTGAGACAACAGGAGGATTCCTGCCCTGCTGGGGAGCTGTGGCACAAGGGAACTGAAGGAGTTGCCTGTGGTCAGAAAGGGAGAGTCGTGGGTTGAGCGCGCCACCCCAGGAAAGCACAATGGAGGAGAAGTGCTGACCAGCCGGCCCAATCAAGTTCAACTGCCTTGAGCAATGAGGCAGAAAACAGCATTGAAGTGAGCCGTGAGCACAAGCTATCCTGGTGAGACAGAGCTTCTAAGAGGTGGAAAACACAGCCCCGACTGATACCTTCATTTCCTTTTAAAGGTCATGTGAGATGCATAAGGCAGCGAGTGCTCCTAGTGCAATGAAAGGGAATTATATACAAAGGAAAAGGGAGAGAGAGAGTATTTTCCCAGCACCACAGCCCAGCTGGCAATTATCCACCGATGGGTGCTTGTAGTGGCCCTGCCCTGGCCTCTCTTCCCCCTTACCAATCCCCTTCTGGCAGGGGAGCAGTGCCAGCTCCCCCTCTGCACTCCAGTTGCAGAGAGCAGAATACCAGTACTGCAGGAAATGGGGAGAGTGAGACAGAAGAATAATTAATCCATGATCGGGGACTGCTCAGGCAAGTGAGACCAATTGCTGCATTTTTATATCATGCATTCTTTTCAAAATAGTCGCACCCAAGGCAGACGGCCCCTGAGGCTAGCCTGGGTCAGGTGTGCCAACAGTGATGTGGCCAGTGCTGCATCGACCTGCCTTTGACTGCCAAACCCAAATGATTCTCCAGCTGAAGCAAGACTCAAACGTCCCCTGTTGCATGCTTGGACCACCCTGCCGTTGTGCCAATGCATGCCTGGACTTCACTCCTCCCTCTCATCTCTGCAGCCAACTCGCTACTCAACTGGGGCACTGCCATTTGGTCAGGCCCAAAGCACAGTGCCTCTGTACTGGGTGATTAGCGTGGTGCCTCGCACAGCAGCTAAAGCAGCAGATCATTAGCCTCAGACAAGGCTAAGGACAGTTTTCTTTACTGGTGCTTACACACAGCAGTGACCAAACAAAAGCAGGACTGAAAATCTCTCCCTTGTTTCCCCCTTGTCTCTCCAGCAATAACTCTTTTTGCTAGCTGTGTGACCTTGCTTTCTGGCAGCACCCTTCAATTCAGACCTTGAATGCCACTTCTGTTATTATTTTGGTACCATCATTAAGCAACGCTGCCTAGAACGACAGGCTGTGGCATGCGGGGACTTCAGGCAAGCACAGCTGAACACGTTGGGCACCTGATTTCCAGAATGAAGCACACAAAAACAATAGTGCCACCCCCTAGACTTGTTACAAGTGCCAAGGGCTCATGATGAGCAAATTCTGCATGGCTCTCCTGGCTTCTACCTGAGTGTCAGAGGAAACAACTCTCCTCACCCTGGGGGGCTCTTCTGGGACACAATCCACTGCAGCCAGTTTCTCCAGGAGGTCCTTCCAGCAGAGACCAAGATGGGTTTTCACAGATGCTGCTAAAGCACCCCCCCTTCCTGGACCACCAGCAGGCATTTTCACCGTGAAACAGGTGGAGATGCAGCAAGCTGGAAAATGGCACCAAACCACTTCAGGCGGTGCCTGGATTGCCAAGTGGGGGCTTCACTCAGAAGCTGCAGAATTGCCAACCTTCCTCAGCTAGCGTCAGCCCCCTGACGGGCACAAGTAAGCGTCTGGGTGACATTTCCACCGTGCGCGGCTGCGTGACACAGGCAACGCGCGCTGCGAACACAAGATGTTTCAGGTCTGGAGAGCAGCTGTTTCCTATGCTGCCCTGTGAGGAACCCCAGGCAGAACCAGCTCCCCCCATTGACACCTTCCTCCTCCCTCAAGGCCTCAGCAATGGGGAATGATAAAAACCTTTTTACCCCACCTGCAAGCCGTATATTTTTCATGCTGGCAGTTGAGCAAAGAACAGCACAGACCAGCTTCTCCATCCCATGAGCTGCACACACGCATTTCCTAGACAAAGCCCTTGGGTGGAAGCCCTGCACTGATCTGAACGAGGCTGAGCGGGGCTGCATGCCCCTGAGGCTCAGGGTAAATCCCTGAACGGCATTGGAGAGTTGCAAGGTCCACTCAGCTCAGGTGGGAATGAGGGGGAGATGCTTCTGCATAGGTCTGGGAGCCAGGAGACCTGGGTGTGCTGGCCTCTGCCACAGAGGCAGGTCACTCCTGCATTGAACTGATCACCAGCCATGACCTGCCCAGTGGCAGGCTGATTTAGTGCAGTCTATCCTCAGATCCAGAGACCCTGCAGCCTCCTGGCCCTTTCCCGCTCCCAAGCTGGTGTGCCCCAGGTTACCTTCCACAGCAGGATGGCTGCCTCACAGCCCTCCCTTTCCTCCAAGAAGGTCCCCCAGGCACCAGGTCCTATCTCCAGCCTCACTCAGAGCAAGGCTAGCTACTCCCTGGCACTCCCCAGGTCTTAATGGGGAAGACAGACCCATTGCACTCTAGGTAACACTGGACATGTTGCTTAATTTCCTTGGGCCTCAACCTCTTTCTCCCTAAAACATGGACAACACTTGCCTGCTTCACGGGGCATCAGCAATCTGACTCCGCTCACTCTTGGCATATTCCCAGAGTGCCTCCTCTGTCATGCTAAACATACCTGAGCCTACAGAAGCCAAGCACCTTGCAAGAAAAGGTCCTTGTTCTGCAGTCTGAGACTAATGGGTCTGATGCAGGGTGAAGGGCTCCATGGAGGTGCTGGGCTGAAGGGCTCCATGGAGGTGCTGCAGGCTGCACATGCCCAAGCGAGATGGCTCTCCCAGTGCTGAGGAGAGCATGCTTTCTGACAGTGCACCGCATTTTGCAGCATCAGATACACCCATGAAAAATGGGGCCTCCTAAGGTCTTGTGCACAGACCTGGAAAGAGAAAGGCACAGCAGATCTCTCTCTACTGTAGGCACCCAAAAGCCTCTGTCACCTCTTACTGTGCTGCAGTTCTCCCAAGCCACATGCCTCCTTTTCAGCACAGACACCGAAGCCAGTGGAGGGGCACTCAGACACAGCGCAGGCAAAGCTCTGATAACTTCAGCATACCCCATAGACAGTCCTAGCTTATCCCCAGCTTCAGGTCAGCAATGCTTAGAGGCTTTTAATGCTGCACTCCACTCCATTTTGGGATCCTATGACCCCAGCTGACTTCCTGCCCTTTGGGCGGGGGGCTGGACTTGATGATCTTCCGAAGTCCCTCCCAGCCCTAATGTCTATGAAATCTATGATAATGAGCTCAGTGCTCCTAGGTAGGCTTTTTCTTTGGGAACCTTGCAATACCCACTTGCTATCCCCTAGCCAGCCCCTGCACTAATGTATCCTCCCCTTCCTACTCCACCACTCACCTTACCTGCAAAAGCCTCAGCTACCGGGCTCACTAAGCATTTGTTATTCCCCTTATCGCCCCTCAGGTGGCTGCACTACCTCCTGCCTGTCATTTCAAGGGGCTTATCTTCCTAGTGACTGAGCATCCCAGCAAGTTTCTGTCTTAACAGAAAGGCCTGTTACCCTGTTTACATTATACTTTAAAGGGCAGGGCATCAGAGGAAATGAATGTGGGGAGTGAAATGTAAATGCAAGGCAGAGAGCGCTGCACAGTACCATCATGATCCCATGGCGTGGCATTCCTGCATCTGACCACCACCCATGGACGATGGGGGTTTGGGAGCTTTAGGCACTGCAGCAGGAAGGCAGAGCTATCTTCAACCCTGCCGGTCAGTGAAATGAGTACCAGGAGGTCATTCTAAGAGCACCTTGGTTTGTAAACACCTCCCCAGGCTGCCTAGTCTGCCACAGTCAGGGCCAGACTCAGCATCCCCATGGTGTCTGTGGCTATGGCCTAGAAGCCTGTGAAATACATTCACTGCAAAATGAAAAGCTACTTATCATTCAGCACTTCTTGCATAATGTTCAGGGCTGGTACGGAGGGCCATGTCTGCAAAGGCTGGAGGCTGGCAGGGAAGAGAGCTGTTCAGAAAAAATCATTTCAGTTCTCGATGAAAACATGAGCAGTCCCATGCCTGCAGTCTCAGTGGGAAGGCAGGCATTTCTCTGTAATGTCGA